CCTCTAGATCTATTGTTACTAGTCAAGTCAGTACATGGAGCAGCCAACCTCTAGATCTAATGTTACTTAGTCAAGTCAGTACATGGAGCAGCCAACCTCTAGATCTATTGTTACTAGTCAAGTCAGTACATGGAGCAGCCAGCCAACCCCTAGATCTATTGTTACTTGTCAAGTCAGTACATGGAGCAGCCAACCTCTAGATCTAATGTTACTTAGTCAAGTCAGTACATGGAGAAGCCAACCTCTAGATCTATTGCAGTGTTGGGGAAGCTACTTTTAAAATGTAGCTAGCTACAACTACTGCTACATTTCAAAAAAAAGTAGCTTAGCTACAGCTACAGCTACAGATCCGAAAAAGTAGCTAGCTACAACTACAGCTACAATGAAATGTAGCTACAGCTACAATTTTAGCTACTTTCCCAAAGACGTTACTTTTTATTCCACGCACATTAGGAAAATGTAAAATTAATTGCAACAACATTTATTGAACAAATATTTAAACAAGAAATGTCAGTATTGTATCTAACATTACTTGGAAAACAAATTATTCCTAGATTGTATTTAATTTGTTGGCATTATAAACCTAACATTACAACAACAGCATCAAATAGTTGGGTGTCCCATCATATTATTTAGTACTTATTTTTAAATATTGCATTATTTTTAAGCATCTTATATGTAAATGCCATTAAGTTCAAAGGACATACAACCAAACTATATTTTAAAAGCTCATTTTATTTCTTTAATTAAAGATTCATTTATAGATGTCTTATATCAACAATTAAGACCACTAAAACTGTAAAACGATTATTTAAAAATACATTTTTGTGTTACAGAGCCTAGCCTATTGAAATTAAAGTTTATTGCCTTTCTTTACTTTTAATGTTAAAAACGACATTGCTATAACTTTTAACCATAGTGATAAGTTACTTGTTCTATGAATAACACTTTTCAATGTCAAGAAATCATCCTTTATTGTCATTATGCATAGGGCAAATTGTGATTCAACCTAGTTGGTACAGAAAACAGTATTCAGAAACTTCTCCTGAAATCGGCTTTTAATTTAAACATGTTGAAATTTGTAAAGTAAAAATAACATGTAGGCCTACTTGGCTATGTAAGAAGTTGGCTACAGTAGCTTTGTTCTTGCAAGGACTAAACAGATATATTACTAATAATTGAACTTGGTATTCGTCTTAAACCATAGCATAGCCTAGGAATAGTCCAATACAAGAGCTGTTAGCAGGAGCAAACTATGCTATTTTTTTAAATGTAAGTTTCATGTTATATGGAGATTTTTTCGTTACAATTATCATGTAGTCTAGGCATATCTTAAAACTCATCAGGTAATTTCCTCTTTGTTAATTTAGTAAACCTTTGAAAAATCTTCGTAATCTAACCAAAGAAGGGCTTGTGATGATGAACCACAATCAACAGCTGAAGCAAGGGTTGATATACCAGATTTCTTATTATTTTTAGGTTTAGTGTTGGTTTCCATTAAAATCCAAGTTAAAACACTATCGATATAACAAAGAAACTAAATTGATTACTAATTTCCCTGTCAATCACTTGCAAGCTAGATTCAATAGCTTCTCTTGTCAGTCTTGTCACCGGTACCGGTAACGTTTAAACGTCGTCTGCATCTAGCGATTTTATTTTATCTGACAGTAATCATAGAGTAGTAAATTAAGGAAATGAGAGCTAAAAATGTGGATAACACTCATTTAATGGCCTCCATGTCCACACAACGTTGTAATAGGGAATGAAACGGCTGCAATCAGCTGTATGAAGCCAAGAAAGTAGGCCTAATTTTTTTTGAAAATCTCAGTTTGAAAGATGTTGTTTCACGTAAGGTTGAGGCTATGGTAAAAATCACTATCTCAAACAATGTTAATGTAGCGAGAAAAGTAGCTAAAATTCCGCTACAACTACTTTAAAAATGTAGCTAGCTACAGCTAAAGCTACAAAATCTTAAAAGTAGCGACGCTACAGCTAACGCTACAAAAAAAGTAGCGCGCTACTGTAGCGTCGCTACTTGTAGCGCGCTACTTCCCAACACTGATCTATTGTTACTAGTCAAGTCAGTATATGGAGCAGCCAACCTCTAGATCTAATGTTACTTAGTCAAGTCAGTACATGGAACAGCCAACCTCTAGATCTATTGTTACTAGTCAAGTCAGTACATGGAGCAGCCAGCCAACCCCTAGATCTATTGTTACTTGTCAAGTCAGTACATGGAGCAGCCAACCTCTAGATCTAATGTTACTTAGTCAAGTCAGTACATGGAGAAGCCAACCTCTAGATCTATTGTTACTAGTCAAGTCAGTACATGGAGCAGCCAACCTCTAGATCTAATGTTACTTAGTCAAGTCAGTACATGGAGCAGCCAACCTCTAGATCTATTGTTACTAGTCAAGTCAGTACATGGAGCAGCCAACCTCTAGATCTAATGTTACTAGTCAAGTCAGAGCATGGTGCAGCCAACCTCTAGATCTAATGTTACTTGTCAAGTCAGTACATGGAGCAGCCAACCTCTAGACCTATTGTTACTAGTCAAGTCAGTACATGGAGCAGCCAACCTCTAGATCTAATGTTACTAGTCAAGTCAGAGCATGGAGCAGCCAGCCAACCTCTAGATCTATTGTTACTAGTCAAGTCAGTACATGGAGCAGCCAACCTCTAGATCTAATGTTACTTAGTCAAGTCAGTACATGGAGCAGCCAGCCAACCTCTAGATCTAATGTTACTAGTCAAGTCAGTACATGGAGCAGCCAGCCAACCTCTAGATCTATTGTTACTAGTCAAGTCAGTACATGGAGCAGCCAACCTCTAGATCTAATGTTACTAGTCAAGTCAGAGCATGGAGCAGCCAGCCAACCTCTAGATCTATTGTTACTAGTCAAGTCAGTACATGGAGCAGCCAAACCTCTAGATCTAATGTTACTAGTCAAGTCAGTACATGGAGCAGCCAACCTCTAGCTCTAATGTTACTTAGTCAAGTCAGTACATGGAGCAGCCAACCTCTAGATCGATAATAATGAATTTATTTTGGATTTGTTATCTACCTTTGAAAAAAAATACCATTGTTATATTCTTACATTACATTAGAAAATTGTCCAATGAAAAAAGTAAACAAATTCACTAATTCAGATGACTTACGAGCACATATACCATCTAGGTAATATTAAAACACATTGCTTGACCTAGAATCAACAATATCAGCCCTACTCAAGCTACGAAACTCGTGCACTTCCGAAAAATGTTTCTTGATTAGGAATTAATTAACTTAATCTCTCTTTAAAATGTCCATGGCATGTTTTTTTCACTTGCAGAAATATTGTTTAAGAACTTTTTCCATAAGGATAGCTGTTTTTGATTTTACATAGCCAAATGAGTTTCTGTATCTGGTAGATAGTTTTTTTTTCTTTTTTTAGCGAATTTCCCGTATAGGGAATAAGCTATTTTGTCCAATTTTGTAATTTTAACTTCAGAAAAGTTTATTTTTCTCCGTTATTTGTGTTTTTGGCCAGATGTTAGCATGATAACTCAAACAAAAATGATTCAATTTTTATTTAATTTGGTATAAAAGTGTAAACCTACATTTACTAGAATGAGTTCGCAAACCAGATCGGACCATGGAAACGTGGGTTTATGGGGGGTTTTATGAGGTAAAAATGGGTTTTTCCCATTTTTGACCCTAAAAACATAAAATTTTGGAATTTCTTTCCAAACCATTTTGTAGAGCTAAAAAAAAAACAAATAATTTATTATATTGAAGCATTGTTATATGCCTAATGGTTACGGAAAAAATTATAAAAGTGTAAATTAAAAATTCTTATGTTATTCTTTTGGAGAAAATGAAAACTGTTGTGTAGTTTGTTTATAGATATAGGTATGTTGATAAAATATGTTAAATTTGTTTACTTCATCCTATACTATTTAAGTTTGGTCAAATAACACTTTTTACCTTCCCTGTAGCAGCCAACCTAAGCACTTATTACATCTAATGTTATTTAAATTGGGAATAAATATGTCTTATTAATGGAAATATTTTAGTAAAATTGTAATCAGACAAGTTGAAATTCGCTTAGTCCGTAGGTTTGCTGCGGCAGGGGTATGTTTTTTGTCGTAGGACGCTAGGTGCGAGCCCGGGATTGTTTTTCACATTACTTCAGGCTAGACCTAGGGATTGCAGCATTATCACTTAGATAAAATTCATTGGTGATTTGGCGGGATTTGAATACGGGACCTCATGGACCGAAATCCCGTGCTCTAACCACTACACCAGCTTGCTCCCCCTGGTAGAGATAGTATGAATGTAACTTTTCAAAGTAACATTTTGTTTTATTTTGTAAAAACAGTAGGTACTGTAACTAACTTTTCAAGTAGCATGTATGTACACAGAACTTGTCAGTTCTGAAATATAATTTAAAGGTAGGCTGTAGTAAAGGTGTTAGCCAATAGAAAGGTAATTTTATGTAGAGCTTAAAAGGTTTTCTAAGCGTAAATTAAAATATTTTTTTCCAAAAGCCAATAGGCAGGACTTCCCAGTATCATATTGCCACACTACATGGTCAGATTCATATGAGCAACACATCTAGCTGACTGGTTGTGACTATACCAGTTCACACGAGTGACAAGTCCACCGACTATATCGCAGGCGTGACACTAATGAATGAGCATCGATAGAGGCAAGTATGCGAGCTGCAGCGCAACAAACAGTTACATGTATAACACAATAATTTTATATGGGGTATTGCTACACTGCAGAGCTAGTAACTAGCTAGCCATAGAAAGTAGCAACAATCTAGGAACCCTGGCGGTAGTTTGCGATAACAAGCTCGCTCGTCGCTCCCACAAGCTTGTGTGAACGGCTCTAGGGCTGTGGTCCGTTACTTTGTGCCTGGGACCTTGTCACTGCCTAGCAGCTAGATATGTCACTTGTGTGAATCAGGCTTAAGTTACACTGTATGAGCTGTCAGGTAAAATGGAAATGTTACCTTGAAAGCTTCCACGCCAAACAAATTGCCATATTTGCTAAGATTCAAATATTTCATCTGACTAAAAAATGAATCAATGAGATGCTTGTATTTTGTAGATAGACTTCTTAAAATGAATAACTCTTTTATGGAGAGAGCAGGCAATATCTTGACAAACAGGATGTCATCCCATAGAAGGTTGATGAATTTGTCATCATTTTCAATCTCAGTTTCCTGTCGACTCATATTTTAATTACATATCTTCCAGTAAAATAGTTGACATCTTGCGGTAAGTTACCTAAAATAAAATAAGTTAGAGTAAAACTGTAAATGTTTATGGAGACCAAATAACAAGCCTTGTCTCACCAGAATGCCTTCAACTTGTTTGTTTTAAGTTCTTGGGGGGTGACACTGGCAGCCAACTTGGATTGATTTCAAACAATCACTAAAGAGTTATTTACCTACCTTCTAAAAATTATTTTTTGTTCAAATAAGTTACCAAAGTGATTGTAGTTTAAATATTTAGGACACTGTGAGATTAGAAATTTCCTTTGTGATTTAATAATTGTTTTTCAAGAGAGTCCTAGAAAGCTGACGGGACGGCCACCTTGGATTTGCTCGCCATAAGAGCAATGTTAATTTCACACAGTCACTGGGTTAATTAATTACCATCTCAAAATATATTTTGAAATACCAATGGGATTGTAACTTAACTGAAATATAACGTATGGCACTGTGGAATTGGAAATTTTCTTTTTTGTTTTGCAATTATTGATTAATCTTCAAAAATCATACTAGGCCTAAGTTATTGTTTTATGAGTTTAAACTAGCAACTAGGATCCAAGGAATCAATCAATAAATGTGACTTGGGCTCTTAACTTCTATTTTACAATGTAAACATTGAAGTGCAGATTTAACGTTCCTAATAACTTATAACATTAAAATAAAATTTAAAAAATCATAGTTAATTCAGTTTTTGTGACAGCATAAAAATATTTGCACCATTGTTTTCAGGTAAAAATATAGTTTCTAATGGTATATACATCGCAGAGGATACTCGTCGGGTAACCGGACGTGGATTAGGCGTCTGGCAGATACTGTCATAACCTAACCTAACCAACAAAACTTGATGATAATAAAAAATCGAATGAAGGTTAAATTCTGTTTGTAAAACAAAATTATAAATGCAAAAAATTCAAACAAAAGATGTAGGTACAGTTAAGAAGAAATGGCATTCAAAGTAATGATAAATCTTTGACAAAAAGTTAAAGTTACCGATGGGATTCGAACCAGGGATTTCTTGCATATCAGCCGAGCACTCTATCCACCACGAACTTACACCACGAACACCTATGGATATACCTTGTATTGTTGTGGTATTGGCGTTCCGGGGCCCCACAACCCGGGGACGTCACTGCCAGATGCCTAATCCACGTCCGGTTACCAGACGTGTATCCTCTGTGTAAGAGTGAAAATTTTAAAATGTACGTTTTCATGAAAAGCACTTTTAACACGTTCGCTACTGCAATAGTACAAAATTTTCCATTCACAGCTGTCGCATATTTGCGTCGGGGTTATAATGTTATTAAAATGCTTATATCTTTGTAACGGACTATTTGAAGGCACTGAATTCCCTGCAGTGGTCTACAGAGATGTCTGACGCACAACTGCGTCGCTCGGTCTGTGGATATGATGATTGGTGACATCATAATGATAATTTTATTTTGGGCATCACTCACCTTATTGGAATCACGGGAACGCAGTCCTTGTCAAATCACAATCAACACAGTTCATTACACATAAAAATATACAAAAATAAAAATAAAACTAAATTTAAAATTTCAGACTTAAGTTCCCAACACCGACGTTTCGCCGCACCAAAATCAACGTGCGGCGTTTTCAAGGTTATTTCTCTTCTCACGCAATCGTTGTGAGCGCCTAACCACGACTGAGTGATAATACCATGTCGTTTAGGAATTTGAGTCATAATGATAGTTGAAAAAACTGGTCTTTACTTTTCTGCATTACTGTATGTATGTATGCAGTATGTATGCTGCATTATCCTATGTAGCTTTTATATTTGTTCAGTTATACTTAAACTGTTCTTGAATGATCTGTTTTGTTTACTTACTTTCACCTCAAAACACAAACAAAAATGGACTGTCGCATATATGCGACGTTTGGTCTATTTCAAGAAAACTATGATAATTTTCACTAGGCTGTTGTCTTTGCTGTAGACCTGGCGTCGCAAATATGCAACATTACAAAAGGTTATACAAAATACAAAAAAAACAAGAATAAATTATTTACAAACACGACTGTAGCGTAGGGCCTATTACAATGTAAATGATCGTTGTTTTACAGGTTTTCGCCCGTGGTCTGTGTGTACTGTTAACCAAGTGACAGCCGGTCTATGCGTAAGATTCAAATGTATACCTCGGTCTGTGGCAATGACCGCGGCGTCGCATATATGCGACGTTCAGTAGCAAACGTGTTAAAATTTTTAAATTCCCGTTTTTTGAAACTTTTTTTATTTTTTTAATTTTATTGACATTTGAAGTATCATAAAATGTCCATGATAACGCAATATCTTTGGTGATTTTTTATTTATAGAGCATCTTTGAAGGAAACACACGAAATTTTGTCACGACCATCACAGACTTAAAACTGAATAATAAAAATAGTTAATATTATTTTTATAACTATGTTTTGCTATAAATTAATTTACTTTTATGGCCATTATAAAATAAACAGCTCACTAAGCTTTAAGTATATTTGGTCTCTAGGAAAAAATAAAAATATACCCCCGCCGCAGCAAACCTGCAGACTTAGCGAATTTCCATTTGCCTGATCGGATTTAAACTAAAATGTCTCCTTAAAAATATCACATTTATTCCCTATTTAAACAGAATTAGTTTAATGAGTATTTAGGTTTGCTGCAACAGGGAGGGTAAAAAAATTTTTTTTTATGTAAAATGTTTAATGGTACTATGTTTTAGTAAGAAATTAATGTATTTTCTAAATTTGATCAAAATGTGTTTATAAACAAGCAAAAACAGTTGACTTATCCTCCATAAGAATAACATGGGAATTTTAAAATTACAATTTTTTTTAATTTTCTCCGTAACAATTAGGCACATAATAATGCTTCAATATACTAAATTTTGTTTTTTTATGCTCTACAAAATGGTTTAGAAAGAAATTGTGAAATTTTGTGTTTTTAGGGTCAAAAATGGGAAAACCCTATTTTTACCCCATAAAACCCCCCCCATAAACCCCCGTTCCCATATTCCGATCATGCTGGTTCGCGAACTCATTCGAATTTATTCCGCCTTACACCTTCAAACCAAATTTTATAAAAATCGGACAAAAATTACTCAAGTTATCGGTGATGGACACACATATATAGATCACATATATCTATATATATAGATACTAGCAGAGTACCCGTCCTTCGTACGGGGTTGGAATATAAGTATAAAATACTTATTGCAGTTATACTCAAGCTATGCGTTTGCAATAAGGGAGGACACAGTTTGATAAAATTTGCTTTTTTAAATTTACAGTATTCTATAGTATTACACATCTACTATAGCCATAATGTTCTACCACTTCACCTAAACAATAGAGAAAAATAAATTATCAATAATTCACAAAATATCACAAATTATTCATGAAATGAAAAACATAAACATAACTGTAAACAATCCTACTTTGACAGTTCTCATTGCGAAACACAGTTTTTTGTTGCTGCTTAGATCAAATTAGCTGCTTTCATAAATGCAAAAAAAATATAGTGCTGCACTCTGTTGGTAAATCTTATAACTTTTTAATGCTTTTCCATATCATAGAACCAACTTTTTTAGTTGAAACAGCTGACTAAATTCTTTAATAATTCCTAAATATGAATAGGTACTCATAAGGTTAACATGGGAAATTACAGAGCCACTGGGGCGGAGCCCGAAAGGATTTTTGAGATAAGAATATGCCTATATGTTAATCGGGAATGTAAGCTATCATCATGCCAAATTTCAGCCCAATCCGTCCAGTGGTTTATGCGTGATTGAACTTCAAACAAACAAACAAACAAACAAACACACAAACTTTCACATTTATAATATTAGTAAGATACCTATAAAAATTTCAACGAATGGTGTTTTTGGCCTCTGGGGACATCGAAATGAAAAAGTAAATCGGTCCCGGGCCTAGGTCTTACCATGAGACCTACGGTAATAGGGAAATTCACTGAAACTCAAAAAAATTGAAAAAAAGCCAATAAAATCTTAAGTTTGTATAACTCAGAAAAAACTTACCCTACCTGAGACCTGAAAAATCGTTGTTTTTATAGAGGCGTGCTTCTTTTGTGTATAAAACATTGAAATATCATGATATTTTAATTTTTGAAATTTTTATGATAGAAACATAAACGTGATGTTCAGGGACAAGCGGTACGGTTGTGAATTGTCTGGAATAATCTAAATATTTCTAAACAATCCTTCAATTATACTGATAGGCTAGTTATGATAAAATGTGTTTCAATTGAACTAAACTGTTCAATTTACAAAGATATTTATTTAAGTTATTGTCACGACCAAACACAGTATAATCCATAAGGCTGGATTGGTCGTGAAAAACCCGCGATGGTCGTGACATTACGTGTTATTTGGCTCTGTTCTGGCGGTAGCCCTGCACCTCATTTTCGAGGATACAAAGTGGACTTCTAGGTTAATCTAGCAATTGAAATATCATAAACAAAAATTAACACTGTGTCTACTTCATCGAATGACTGCTTACGGTCATGGACACACCAAAATTACAAAAAACACAAACTTGCCTTTATTGATCTTATAATTCCTCCTTTCAACTCAAAACGACCGGCACTACTAACTTGACGTACACCCCGAACTAAAACTCTCTAAAACAAACTGACGCAATCGACGCCAGGCTTGCCACTGTTGTGCTCCAAGGTTGAAAATTTTTCCCAAATGGTCGGGACGCCAAATCGAGGGACAGACTTACTTTGTCATGGTAGTCAGTTTGCAATGACAATAAAATTATAATATGCTTTTTTGTAAGTTTAACAACTATTAAACAATTATTAAAGTTTAAAAACTATTTGTAAGTCTAAAAACAGTGTGAAAGTTGGAAAATGTACCCAGGGACACGTCATGGTCGTGAATTTCGAGACTTTAAAAATACAAAAAAAATACCCAACTTAGAACCTATTTAAAACCAAATAAATGTGTGTTTCAACATGTTGCCCCCGTCCCAAAAAAAATTAAAACACATAATAAAAAACTACAAATCCAGTAAGTTATCTAAGTTTACGAAGTAAAAGGCCAGGGATATGAAAACGTACGTTTTTAAATTTTCACTCACAAATTACCGTACTTTAGTAGGTAGCCTACTCTTGGTCACCCTCTCTGCAACAATTACCGTTGACCTATCAATGCTAATCACTACTCCTTCGAGATAATAGAACCAGGCAATGTTACCTTTTAAATATTAGGCTAAGCACTAAGGTTTAGGCTAGGTAAGTTAACTTAACTTAGGCTAATCTGGAATAAGATTGTAGCCTACTTTGAACCTAACTTAGGCCTAGGTCCAAAACTTTCAAATTGACTAACTTAAGTTATTGAAAATACTTTGTAGGCCTATTATTTACAGCAAAGAAATGACTCTTTGGTTCATTAATTTTAAAATAACTTAACTTAGGCCTATGTTTTCTTAGCTATCATTTACCTTTTTGTAACTTTGTAAACAATAACAAAGATCTGAAATAGGCTACAAGATTCTTTATGGCTAGTTGGGCTAACCGTTAGGATTTTATCCCAGTATCCCACGGTTACTTCACAGTCACCTTTTTCAGCAGGCCTATCATCCTGATATTGATACAACTTCAGTAACAAATAAGTTAGAATACCAAATAAATAAACGATCAGTGTTGCCACCACGTTGTTGTGATTTTACCCTAAAGGCGGGCTAAAATTACCCTAAATTACCCTAAATCTACTTTGAGTTACCCTAAAAATTACCCTAAATGTTGATATTTGCGTTTAATGCTATAAAACATTGTTAAAATCATATAAATCTTACATAAGGTGGTTAATTATACTAAATTAAGTTCCAATATCAATCAATTTACGTAAAATTATACTTAATTCTAAAAAACCACCCGAAAGAAGAACAAAATGTTGATATTGATCAGCTCTATCGACTATCGTATAACAAAAAATATCGAATCAGAACTATCGTATTTTTTTACTGTATCGACCCATTACTACTGTTTTTGGACAATCATATCTTTAAAATACAGTACGGTACCACCAAAGCTTTAATCTATACCGGTACATAGTAGTAATTTCTTGATACAATTTGTAAAATAATCCAGTTTAATTCAATTCAATCACATAATTAAATATCAAACCCAGTACCTAATGAATAATATTTCATATTTGATTAGGCCTATAACGTGTTATAGAATCGAATACATTCTAAAACAGATAATTCCCAACTATTGATAAGATCGATTAGGATAACTTATTATGAAAAATTCATAATAGCAATCGATTTAAACCGGTTGAATCGAATATGATGGTTTGGCCATAGTATGTAATGAACGTTTTTTTGCCAAATTTTGAAGTTTTTTTCATTTTTGTAGTAAAATTTCCAATGTTATTCTAACTTTTAGTTTTACCCTAAAATTACCCTAAATCTACCATTACCCTAAACTTTACCCTAAGACCAGTAAATTGCCCTAAAAAAGGGTAATTACCCTAAAAGTGGCAACACTGTAAACGATGCAATGGACTGTCGGCTGTCGCTGGCCTCCTCCCCTCTTCCCCTGTGGTGACAGTATCGGTGTACCTTCCTAGTCCGGTTGGTTGGGCTGAGGCTGAACCTGAACGAGTGGCTGAGCTGAGCTGAACCACGAGTCTACATTCGACGTTCTGTACCCACGAGAACCTCAGCTTCCACATGCACAGAATAACAGCTATTTGTGTAATAGCTTCACTGTATATCTTTAATTGGACCTGTTTAGATAGTTGTTTCGTTTCAACAGTTGCAGTTTGCAGTTGCGAACTGTGCATTGTGATTTTAAGGTGTTTCGTATTTTTTAACTGTTTGTTTATTTTTGACTTGAGCTGCTTGAAAAGGTGTTTTATGATTATGAAAATTAAAGTGTTGTGAGTGAGCTGAAGCTGATTATTTGTTATTAGGTATTACCAATTAAATATTTTGCGTGCATGAATTATTTATGAACTTTTAAATGTTCACTTAATCTATCTTTTTCGGATTCCTCAAGAAAGAGTGATTGTTAATGTTAGGTTGAGTTGCGTTTGTGTGTGAATTTGTTAGATTGGAGTTTTGGTAGTTGTAGGTCTAGGTTTATTTTGATTAAGTTAGTTGGGCCTTTCAGTGGAGTTTAGGTCTAAGTATGGTCGCCATTTCATAAGAAAGTATAACAGTATTGCCTGTGAAAAAGTTAAATTAATAACTTATCTATTATTTTCAAAATAAACTTATCACACACTTTTATAGAAATTTCTATATTTCGGCATTAGCCTTCTTCAGGAACAAACACAATAACAAATAGAAGTGTTTACCACTCTGAATCATATGGTTTTAGCAAAAATCCAAAATACATATAATTTATGAAGAAGTAAAAAAGAAAATGTTTTGATAGAAAGAAAGAAAAAAATTTATATATATATGTATATATATACTATCTCAAATTTAGACCGGAAGGTGTTTTAGATTTAAGTATTAATTGATGAGCTTGCTCAAGCTGTCTTAATTTCAAGTCTGGTGCGTCTTTTGCCAATTTTCTTATTCCTTTTAATGAATAACATTGTTCAAAATTTTGAGAATGCTCTCTCGCATGAATAGCCACAGGTTTTTGTTTATCAGGATGGTTTACATCATATCTGTGGCCATTCATACGAACTCTTAGAGCATTGGTGGTTTTGCCAATGTAGTCTTTAGGACAATTTTTGCATGAAATTTGGTAAATTACATTAGTAGACTCACAGGTGATGTTACTATTTATGTTATAACATCTTTTTGTTTGCCTGCTTGTGAAAGTTTTTGATGGGATGATTAATTTGCAAGTGGCACATCGTGGTTTGTTGCATTGATTACAGCCCGAAGGTTTTGCTGAGGGTTGGGAAGTGGGAGGTAGTTTGGGTTTTGAAAGAATGTCTTTTAAGTTAGGAGCTTTTTTGTATATTAGTCTTGGGGGTTTGGAAAACAAATTATGGGTCAGAGGTGAATTTGAAAGAATATTATGTGCCACTCTTAAAACATTATTAACTTTGTAAAGGCCAGGAAAGTATTGGGTGATGAATTTTGGATCTTTTTTGAAATTATCTGTGTTAGGATTTTTTGAGCTTTTTATTTGACTGTCTATTAAATTTTTAGGATAACCTCTTCTGTTAAGTGAATTGCTGAGTTTTTCAATATAATTTTGGTAATCACGATTTTCAGAACAAAGGTTTTTTGCTCGTATTGATAGGCTTTTTGGTATGGATTTTTTAATGTGTGCAGGATGACAGCTTGAGTAAGCTAAGTAATCCATTGTATTCGTATCCTTTACATGGATTTTGGATTTTAACATACCATCTCTAACAAAAACGTCAACATCTAAAAAAGTAACAATATCTTTTGAGAAGTTCCAGGTAAATTTAAGGATTGAGAATTGATTTAGATTTTCAAGGAAAGTTTGCAGGTTTTCTAGTCCATGTTCCCAAACCATGAAAATGTCATCAATAAACCTATACCAAATTGAAGGTTTCAACATTTGTGAATTTAGAAAAAGTTCTTCAACATGCCCAACAAATAAGTTTGCAAAAGAAGGTGCCATACGTGTGCCCATAGCTGTCCCTTTCACTTGAAGGTAATTTTGATCAAGGAATTTAAAATTGTTCATGGTTAAAACAAAATGAATTAAGTTTATAATAAAATTTGCACTAGGTTTGGAGTTAACTGGACGTTTTTCTAGGTATTTCTTTACAGATTTTTCTCCTTCTTCATGTGGGATGTTAGTATATAGTGAAACTACATCAATTGTCACCAATATAGTATTGTCCGTTAGTGGGGTGTTTAAGTTCTTAATTTTATTAAGGAAGTCTTTGGAGTCTCTTATATATGACGGTAAAGTTTTCACTATTGGTTGGAGGGTGTCATCAACGAATGCTGAAATCCTTTCAGTGGGTGATCCATATCCAGATACGATAGGTCTTCCAGGTGGTGGTCGAATGGGTTTGTGGACTTTAGGTAAAAGATAAAAAATTGGTGTTCTTGGATTTAGAGGGCTCAAAAGTTTTATAGTTTCTTGACTTAGTTTCTTTACATATCAAACCATTTTCAACAATTTTCAACATGTAATAGAGTACAAATACTCCATAAAGTCAATTAACTATAAATTTTGAACAATGTTATTCATTAAAAGGAATAAGAAAATTGGCAAAAGACGCACCAGACTTGAAATTAAGACAGCTTGAGCAAGCTCATCAATTAATACTTAAATCTAAAACACCTTCCGGTCTAAATTTGAGATAGTATATATATACATATATATATAAATTTTTTTCTTTCTTTCTATCAAAACATTTTCTTTTTTACTTCTTCATAAATTATATGTATTTTGGATTTTTGCTAAAACCATATGATTCAGAGTGGTAAACACTTCTATTTGTTATTGTGTTTGTTCCTGAAGAAGGCTAATGCCGAAATATAGAAATTTCTATAAAAGTGTGTGATAAGTTTATTTTGAAAATGATTAAGCCGTTTGGCAATATTATGAAGAAACAATAACTTATCTATTAATAAGAGTATGCCTAAGTTACTACTTAGGCCTACCACTACTAAAACTGCAATCTAACAAATTCACACACAAACAAACACCTAACCTAACCTAACAATCACTCTCTCTTGAGGAATCCGAAAAATATAGGTTAAGTAAACATTTATATCTTCATAATTAATTCATGCACGCAAAACATTTAGGCTAATTGTCAATACCTAATAACAAATCAGCTTCAGCACACTCACAAAACGTTAATTTTCATAATCATAAAACACCTTTTCAAGCAGCTCAAGTCAAAAGTAAACAAACAGTAAAGATTAAAGAATAAACACCTTATCAAAATCACAATGCACAGTTCGCAACTGTAACTGTTGAAAAAACAACTATCTAAACAGAAACAGGTCCAATAACGATATACGGTGAAGCTATTACCCTAATACCTGTTATCCCAGGAACTGTTCGAAGGCCTTCTGTGCTTGTGGAAGCTGAGATGCTCGTGGGTACAGAACGTAGAGTCGAGTCTACGCCTCCACCAGTTCCCCCTCCACAAGATATTTGAGTTTACCCCTACAAAGTAGTCAGTGCTTCGCACAAGTAGACCTCCAATTCCCGCACTTTATATTTCAGAAACCCTAAGAAACCTTGTGTTGGTTAGTCTATGCCCTAAGCTTTAAGGGTTATTATAACTTATACAATTATGAGAATTATTTTTCAATTATTAAAATGTATTAAATCCAATTTGTTTGTATCCATGTCTGGTAGACAGTGTTTTACCAAATCAATCAAGCCGTTATTCATTGTCGTTTTCAAAAGTCCTGTTTCCAATGTTTCTAATGTTTCCAAAGCAGTTTTTCCTAAAATCACAAATATCTGTTTCTTCTATCGTTTCTTTACATATCAAACCATTTTCAACATGTAATAGAGTACAAATACTCCATAAAGTCATTCCTTTGTTTAGGATGAGATGAACGATATTGATTCTGATTCGTCGGTCCAAATTGTTAGATCTATTTTCTTATAGGTTTTTGTTTTTCGTTATGGAATTTATACTCTCGAACAGTTTCAAAATTGTTTCGAAGGACATTCACATTCGTTACAATAGTATTTTGCTAAGAAT